AGCCAGTACTCTTGGGGTTGCCCAGGGAGTGAATCAGTGAATGGAAGGACTGTATCTCTGTAACTCTTTCAAATAAATAAGTCCAATATTAAAAAGAAGAAGGGGTAGGAGGAGAAAAATAAAGGAAAGATAATACAACTCAAACACTGCATTTGTGTTCCAAATCCTGCCTTGGAGAAACACAAGTTTGTAACTTGTTACATAAAAACAATAAATAAAGCAGATAATGCAACTACAGATATGAAAGTTTGTTTAATCAATCATTAATTTCAAACTGCTATACTCATTCATCTTCAGCCAAAAAAAGGCAACATATTCATGAAGTTTGTGCTTTTTCTCACAATCAATCTTTTTTTTCCCATGCCTTCCTCCTCCTTGTCACCCTATAATCAATTTTTCCCTTTCTTTGTTTTTCCTACTTTTTTTTAAAAAAATATTTATTTGCTTTTATTGGAAAGGTAGATTTACAGAGAGGAGAGACAGAAAGATCTTCCATCCACTGGATCACTTTCCAAGTGGCCGGAACAGCTGGAACTGAACCAACCGGAAGCCAGGAGGCAGGAGCTTCTTCCAGGTTTCCTGAATGGGTGCAGGATCCCAAGGCTCTGGGCCATCCTCTACTGCTTTTCCAGGCCACAAGCAGGGAGCTGTATAGGAAGTGGAGGGACCAGGACACAAAGAGTGCCCATATGGGATCCTGGCGTTTGCAAGGCAAAGATTTAGTTACTGAGCCATTGTGCCAGATTCTATTTTTCCTACTTCATCTATGGTGCTGCAGATCATCTTCTTTAAGATGTATTTGTTTACGGGCCTGGCGGCATGGCCTAGTGGCTAAAGATATATTTGTTTGGGGCCAGTCTAGTTGTATAGCAAACAAAGCCTCTGCCTGCGGTGTCAGAACCCTACTGGGTGCTGGTTTGAGTCCTGATTGCTTCATTTCTGATTCAGCTTCTGCTTATGGCCTCAGAAAGCTGACTTAAGTGCTTGGGCCCCTGCACTATGTGGGAGACTAAGAAGAAACTCAGGCTCCTGGCTGTGGACTAGGACAAAGGACTACAATAGCCAGGTCTGTGCAAAGTGTAGACCTAGAGGAAAGTGTAGACCTAGAGCCAGGAGCTTTATCAGATCTCCCACGTGGTCAGAGGGGCCCAATCACTTAGGCCCTCTTCCAAGGCTTTTCTAAGCTAGATTAGCTGGCTTGTAGAAGGGAAGTGGAGTGGTGAGGACTCAAACCAGTGCCGATATGGGAAACTGGTGGTGTAGGCACTGGTTTAACATGCTACACCATAAAACCTACCCTTGAAAAATCTCTTTTTAAAATTTTTATGATTTTTTATTTGAAAAGTTACAGACTGAAGGAGACAGAGAGAGATCTTCCCTCCACTGGCTTTATCCCCAAATGGCCATAGTGGCCAGAGCTGAGCTGATCTAAAGCCAGGAGCCAGAAGCTTCTTCCAGGTCTTCCATGTGGGTGCAGGGGCCGAGGACTTGAGCCAATCTGTGCTACTTTCCCAGCTCATCAGTAGGGATCTGGATCATAAGTAGAGCAGCTGCAACACAAACCCTTGCCCACATGAGAAGCCAGCACCAAAGGCAGCGGCTTAGCTTACATGCCATAGCATTAGCCTCCCAAGCTCCTCTTTGTAAGAAAAAAAAATAATAAAGTATGGAAAAATGTAAATAGCATATTAGTATTTCAACCTACTTTTTAACTAATGAACAATTAACAAATTTACCTGAGTCAATCATACTTATGCATTTGTATTATTATATGATCACTAATATTAGCAAATGGAGAAAATTATTCTCAATTAATTTAATCATATGATTTATACTTATTACACATTATACTATCTATATATAAGATGCTATTTATAGATAAGTAAGATGTCCTTTTAAAATTAATAACAGATGTGAAGATACAATGCAGTGTGCACCTCTACTTCCAAATCAAGGATGGATTCCCAATAAAACTGTTAGATATATCTTGACAGTAGGATGCTTGACTCACTGCGAACTGTCCATACCCACAATGTTGGGATACTGTTACATAGCAGAATGATGGATTTATGGCTGCTTATGAAGGACTATACTATTGTAATGATATCGAGGAAATCAATGGGTGAGAAGCGAAATCCCAGAACCTATGACACTATATCATCAAATAATAAAGTTAACAAAAAATAAAAATTTAAATACAAGGAAGGTTAATCTATATGTCTCAAGAAAAACACATGGATATTATTCACATTTTAAAAAAATAGTTACTTATTTTTATTGGAAAGGTAAATCTACAGAAAAAAAATGAGATACAGAAAGATTTCCTGTCCACTGATTCACTCCCCAGGTGGCTGCAACATCCAAAGCTAAGCCAATCTGAAACCAGGAGCCAGGAGCTTCTTCCAGGTCTCCCACACAGGTGCAAGGTTCCAGGCTTTGGGTCATCCTCTACTGCTTTGCCAGGCCACAACCAGGGAGCCAGAATGGAAGTAAAGCAGTCAGGACTCAAACCTGCAGCCATAAGGGATCCCAGCACAAGCAAGGCAAGGACTTTCTTGAAAAGGCTATTGCACCGGGCCCTATCATGCACCTTTTATAACATGTTCCTTGTTAAAGCATCTATGTTTATTAAACTAACTACTAAAGAACTTAAGCATTTCCTACTAAAGTTTTCTGATTAAAAGATACTGAAATAAATGAATCCATTAAAGATCAAACAGAATAGTTACAAACAGATGGAAATAAAGAAATGTCTTCTAAAAGCACAATGTTTGTACTTTTACAGTTCTGACATAGATTGCCATACTTCATGTATTATAGCACTGTATACCATACACATTATAGACTAAGAACCATATAACTCATCAAGTACCAAAACACAGACTGATAATATATTTGGTCATCTCAAAGTATCTTACATTTTGAGATAATTTTGAAAGCTGTCATAGATTTAGCAAAAACATTCGCATTCCAGCAAAATGAAAAATCAATAATGTGCTACCAGTGGAAAAATGAATTTCTATGCCAAATGCAACTTATATACAGAGAAACAGAGGATATCAATAAAAAGCTGTCATGTTTTGTTAAATAAATGCTAAAGGCCTTGAAGATATTCTAAAATTGAAATTCTGCAAGTAATCCCTAAAAAAATACGTTAACCAAATAATCTTCCTGGAAATGCAGTATGAGAATGTACAGCTCTTCATTCTGAAGCGAAAATAATCACTTCAGAAACCACTGTTTATCCTCTGCTGACTGGCATCTTTAAGAAATTCAATTCACCATAGCAACCTGTCTTAGCAGCAGCAGATAAGCACGGGCTATATTTAGAGATGATTGCTTCCCAGACAGCAATCCTGTCTTTCCTTCATATTTCATGGCATGATCCCCGAGACCAAAATATCATTCCATCAGATATCCTATGGCGTGCAGACAAGTACCCTCAGGAAAAGAGGCTATGTTCCAGAACCACCAAAAGTGGTTAAAAGTTAGAGATATATATAAAAGCTAATAAATTCATACGTAAAAATTTACAATTAGACACAATTATTTTGTCCTGTTTTATCTTTGTTCCTAAACAAACGCATGATCCACAATATCAAAATACATCTCAATAGCAGGTTAACGCTGTTGTTTAGTCAGTATGCTACTTTTCCAAGCTGTCACTCATCTAAAAAGAGACATTACAAGAGCAATTGTAACATAGGACAAGTCAATCAACCCAAAATGGCTAACGAATAGTTTCTTAAATTCCTATGACTATTAAATTATTATGGATCTAATTGTGCTTTATACTCTTCATAGTAACAGTGAAGAGAGTTTCTAACTTATTTAATAGAATTCATGTAGTTTAGTTCCCATAACCCAGAGTATTACGATGGTTAAGCATAGAAAATACTGCTTTCTCTTTAGATGAGTTGTAGAAAAGCTATTAAAGAGAATATATGAGAAAGAAAATAAACTCAAATTAAAAACACCAATAACACCCATTAGGAAGTTGGGTAATATCTAGTAGAATGGCTTCTACATGCATTTTCAAAAATGATAATTGAGGCCCAGCAAGGTAGCTTAGCGGCTAAAGTCCTCACCCTGCATGTGCTGGGATCCCATATGGACACCGGTTCTAATCCCAGCATCCTTGCTTCCCATCCAGTTCCCTGCTTGTGACCTGTGAGAGCAGTCAAGGATGGTCCAAGGCTTTGGGGCCCTGCTTCTGCAAGGGACACCCAAAGCAGGCTCCTGGCTTCAGGTCAGCTCTCCTCTGCCCAATGTGGCCACTTGTGGGGCAAGTCAACAAACAGAAGATGTTTCTCTCTGTCTCTCCTCCTCTCTGTATATCTGGCTTTCCAACATAAATAATTAATTAATTCATTAATTACATTTTTAAAGATGAGAATTAAAGGAGATAAGGAAAAACTGGAACTCCCATACATCACATTTAATGAATGAATGAAATAGAAAGTAATGTTTCAGCTAGTACCTGCTGTTAGGAGTAGTGCTGATATACCAGCAAAGAAAATTAAAATTTGAAACCCCAAAATTTCTGCAATATTTCTGTGCCATACAGAGCTTCCAACGGAATCAAAATCAGAAATACACTCAGTATGTTCTACTAAGTAGTTATTATAAGTAACTGTTATATTTCTAAAATATAATTATTAAAAATATTTCAAGAGATTAAATTTGATGTGAACAAATCAAATGTTACCTTCAAAAGCAAAGCAATTACATCTTTCCTGTCTACTATTGCTACACAAGCAAGATATCACCAGGAACTAGCTGCATACCTTGAAAAGTTAGTAATTAATAATACGCCTTCTTTCAAAGTCTTTTATTCCTTAAAAAAATTATTCTATTGGACTTTACTACACTTCCCACAACTCACTAGGAAAGGATAAACTGCCTATCTGTAAAACAATTCTAAGTTTTACTTTGAAAAAACTTGAGGCCATCAACAAAGAAGCTTTAGATTACATGTAGCACTGAAACGAAATACTCACAGAGAAGGATCCTGTACGAGATCTTTGAGATTTATCCCACTGCGATCTTCTGCAAGATTCCTGAAGCAGCTATCACTCACTAAACAGGGATGGGGAAAAGGAAAGACAATTAATTTATTAATATTTAAGTTATTGTTGACCAAAAGGAATTTAAAAGAAAATTCACTTTTTTACCCCAAACACCAATATTGATTGATTTTAGGCCACTCAGTTTAACAATATGTTCCTATTCAAGAAAATGTCAGTATTTCCATAACAAGCCACCATTTAAACATACAGATATTATAAAATCCAATACAGAATATAAGAAACATGTTGGTTTAAATTTTGTTGTACAGGAAACATCCCTTCCCCCTTCCAGCCAAAACACTGTGTTCCCATTACTTTAGATGCTAGATTGCTTTCACAGGTTTACTTCAACAGCTCTTACTAAACAGATCTTGTGCTAGCTGAAGCATATACTTATATTTCAAAGCTATCTTAGTTCTGCCCTCAATTACTTTATAAATGACAATCAGTCTATCTAGTGTCACTAAGAATGACCAGTCAAAAGTACTACATACTGAAAACTATGTGTAGATCAGCCTTCTTGGCAAGATTACTCCCCAATAACACTTCTTCTGTAAATATTCATTTTTCAGGTCTAGAATTTGGGCAATGATTGATAGTCATTAATATACTAAGCATTATACATTAATTTTCTCATATTAACCATCACGTGGGTCTATATACAGTCAATATATACTGATGACACATTTATTCATTTATTCTATTTATTTAAGTAACAGAAAGAGAGGTAGGCAGAGGCCAACCAATAGAGCTGTCATCCACTGGTTCACCTCTCAAATGACCAGAACAGCCTAAGTGGGACCACCATCAATATTAGAATCAGGAATGCAATCCGGGTCTCCTATGTGAACAGCATGAACCTGACAACATGAGTTCCTGCTGATGCTTCTGAAGCTGCATGAGCAGAGGTTGTGATGTGGATTGGAGGCAGGAATCATTTCGGTATGTGAAGTGTCTTAACTAAAATCTTCAGGAACTATGCCAAATGCATACCTCTAATCAACAGTTTGTGACCCAACATATGAAGATAGATTTCTCTCTCCTTGCATGGGTTCAAGTTTTGGAAGCTTGATCCCATTATGGCAATGTGAGAGGTAAAGGGATTTCTAATGAAAGGTTGCACCTAATAGGATGTCCTCAAGACATTTAGGACACCCTAGGAAGGGAAGACTAGTTTCTGGAGTAAGTTCTCTTAAGAGTGAGCTTTCATAAAAGCCTGAGGAGCATGAATCTCTCCAGCTTCCTGCTCAAAACATGATCAGCTTCGCCCACGTGTGCTCCTGTACATGCCATCCATCATAAGGTCCTCACCAGGGCCAAGATGATGCTAGTACTATAGCCTTGAAGCTCCAGAATTGCAAGCTAAATAAGTCTTTTTGTTTATGAAGTACCTGCCCTGCAGTATTACATTATGGTAATAAAAACAGACAGATACAAGTTAATTAATGAACTTGTCAGGATCCATAAAGATAGCAATAATTTAGCAGCAACAATAAAGAGGATCACACAGAACAGCTTTAAAAATCCACTTAATATTTAATTGGAAAAAATACAGAAAGATAGTAATAACTTCATTTCACTCTTACATAATTTGGGGAGTAAGGGGAAGTGTCAAAGAGGGATGAGGTCAGCCAATGTAGGAGGAGCAGTGTGGTGTGCCAAAACCTAAGCACAACGTGAAAGGCCTAGTCACAGAAGGGCATAGTAGTGCAGGGTATCAGAGCCAAAGTGTTATGAAAAGGACATCCCCAAAGAGGCACAGCCTACCATGCACGTCAGAAGCAGATTAAAGTGAGGAAGGTAGCACATGAGTGAGTTGCCTAGTGTGAAGTGCCACAGTCTGATGGGATGAAGAGGGCCTGCATCGAAGAATCAGCTTGGCAGGAAGCTTTGAAATCAAAGAAAAGTGAGGAAGCCAGCATCACAAAAGGGTGCCTTAAATGGAGTCAGAAGGGCATCCACCCAGAGTGGGACCAAAGGTGAATCCCTCAGAAGAATTAAAATATTATAAATAAAATGATTTAGGTCAGTCGCTGTGAACAGAAGTAGGTTACAAAAACTGAAAAGGGAGAAAACTGAAAATAAAGCTTGGATGTGTTGCATTAGATCTGAGAGTACTGGCAAGTATTCATGATACAAACAGGTAAGTTCCTTGGGGAGATCATTGATTCCATCTCCAGGAGAAGAAAAAGTACAAGATGAACATGGAAAGCAAGGAAGTGTCAAAAAAGTTAAGACTTAATAAAACAACACAGATGTCAGCAACACAGACAGGACTTCCACAAGCTAAATCTGAAAACAATATCAGCACTAAAATAAGAGACAGAATATTATAAATTGCCAAATAAAAGAAGCTATCGGTTCAGTTTAATATCAATCAAATATCAAAAGTTCATTGAGGCACCTCTTCATAAAACAGTTGTTAACTGAAAGGGAAAAAATGATAGTATTATATCAGAGAAATATGATTCATACTACAGATAACCACATATCATACATTTGAGTTAGCAAGACAAATCCAACAAAACTATACATTTGAAAAGAGACAATAGTAAGAATATAGCATTATTTGAGTGCTCATCTGGACAAAGACATACAACTTAGTATAAGAACCAGCAAGTCACTTTGAGGCATTCATTGTGTAGAAAGAAATAGAGAGAGAGAGAAAGAAAAAAAAGAAAAGAAAAAGCATAGAAACACCAAAAATATCCACACAAGGATATATGTACAAAGGCATCTAAAACTGAGGGGAAAAAAGAAAGTTTGCCTGTTAATTGTTAGGACTTAATAAAGTACTTAAAAAGTTAATAAAATTATTAGTCAATAACAATTATTACATAATAAAATTAATCAATGAAGTTAATGAAATTAATAACATCAGTAATAAGCCTACAGCCATATCCCCCTGAATGCGCCTGATCTCATCAGATCTCAGAAGCTAAGCAGGGTCGGGCCTGGTTAGTATTTGGATGGGAGAAATTAATAACATCAGTAATTAAGATTTCAAAAACAACCTTTCAATTCAAACTGTGACATTCTCTGAAAAGGATTAAAGTATGCAGAAAGAATAGAGTGCATTTAAAGAGTTTCAATGATCAACAATGTATAATGTAAAAAAAAGTCTAAATAAAGTGCATTCAAAGTAAATCAAATAGCCTAAAGAACAGAATGCAATGTAAGAATAAATTCAAGCTCTAGAAAATAGCCTAATCAGTAAAAATAGGAAACAATGTAACAAGAGCCAACACACACCAATAAAAAATTAAATTTAATCATGATAGAAAGCAGTAATGGAATATATATATACAAGGCAGAATACAACCAAAATAGAAACAAGAACTACAGCAATGTACAAGTGAATGAAATGGGCTGCCCTGGGTGAGGGTGCAGAAAGTAGAATGTGATAGATTTTGGTGAGTATAGCAAACTTAGCAGAGGGATGATTCTACCAAGTCAAATAAAATAAAGACAATCCAATTTGCCAACACACTGTTTGTAAATACACTGCACATAAATATGAATCTTTAAAACACTTTTTTGCAATAATGAAAATTGTTAAGCTGTAAAAAATCAATTGTGATATATGCAATATCTCTCAGCAGTTTAAAAAAAGTAAAAACTTTCATCAATATGAATGTATTTCAGAAACAATGTCAATAAGAAAAAAAGGCAAACTAAATACAGTTTAAAATATGTGAAATAGTATTTTCTGGATATAATGAAAATATAAAAGCAAGCATGGGAATGAAAAACACCAAATTCGGAAGTAGGGATATCACTGGAAGACAAAGGGATGAAGGTGAATGGTATGGATGATTCATTCACAAACTACCACTTTATCTACAATACTTTATTTCTTCGTTCAGTAGTGATTACCCACACTTATTAGATTCTGAGAACTTTAATGAAAAGATTGTTAACTACCCAACAGGAATATTTTATGTAGAAAAGCTTTTGTTGACTATACTAAATCCAATACTGAAATCCAGCTATTTCTAATAACACACATCTGTAATATACATATGAATACATTTATATAAATGTATAATTTATATATTACATAAAATATATTTGTTATTTATATCTATATTATATTTATGTGAATATAAAACTAACATCCAAACCATATCTACTTTTATACATGATAGGATTTAAAAATTGTGCACTTGGCACTATCCGCCACTGATCTTTCCTGAGAGCCTTATCAGCAATACACATGTACCCAATTCAATTACAACTAACTGAATTATTCATTATTTAATTCATACTCATGTTAACGTCATTAACTACAAACATGCTGAAAAACCGTGTGGCATTTTTCAATGAATAACGAAATATCACAATGATCCTAGTAGACAGTGGTTAGAATATTTGATCAAAACTCATACGTCGGGCCCGGCGCGGTGGCGCAAGTGGTTAAGTCCTCGCCTTGCACGCCCGGGATCCCATATGGGCGCCGGTTCTAATCCCGGCAGCCCCGCTTCCCTTCCAGCTCCCTGCCTGTGGCCTGGGAAAGCAGTCGAGGACGGCCCAAAGCTTTGGGACCCTGCACCCGCGTGGGAGACCCGGAAGAGGCTCCTGGCTTCGGATCGGCATAGTATCGGCCCGTTGCGCTCACTTGGGGAGTGAATCATCGGATGGAAGATCTTCCTCTCTGTCTCTCCTCTCTGTATATCTGCCTTTCCAATAAAAATAAATCTTTAAAAAAAAAAAAAAAAAACTCATACGTCGCATATCACCCACAATCATCTGTTGATTATTGCTCTGACTTCCTAACTGCCTCTGAAGTACATATCTGGATAAAATGTAGCTATCCCCAGAAGGTGATCACCTCCTTATATACTGCTGGCATGAAAGTAAACTAGTACTGTCATTTTGGAAAACATTATGGAAGTTCTTCAAAAATGTAAAGCTTGAGCTATCATATGATCTAGCAATCCCAGTACTGGCACATATCCATAGAAAATGAACTCAGTACGTCAAAACATATCTTCCCTCCTGTATTTAGTT